CCACAGGGCTTGTAACACGCTGCTGGTGCAGCTCGCCTTCCTTGTCATCCCATGGGAAAAGAGATGTCATCCTCAACGAGGTCGTTCGTCACTGATAGCGTGCGCGGAGCGCGACGCTTGTGCTCATTGAGCCTAGGATATACATCCTCCGGTGCCGCGGACGCACTGTCTGACATCGCACTGCGTGCGGGGATCGAAGTTGGGCTCTGCCCGTGCTCGCTGTCAAAACCAGCGAGACTTGAGAATTTTCGTGTCGTAGGCACGGGCTCATTGAGCTAGAAAATTGTAAGATTCCAACAAATTAAGTTGCCGTGTTCAACGGACACGCGAGCCTCGATGAGGCAATAATCGATTGGAAATGTAAATATTTTCAATCTTAATGAGGGAGGAGGAACGGGGTTACACGAACCCTGGTAACAGGGGTGTGTGTGTCACACGAGATGTTTTTGGTGTGACCACACCCAAACAAGAATACAGTACGGGGCTAGGCAGCCAGTAGTTTTGCAAGTATTTAGATTTTACTATATATTCAGTATATTTAAGAAAATCTATTCTTTTAAAATTAGAATAGAAAAAAGAAAATCATCAGCTTTGAACATTAGCCTTGGGAAGGCAATAATTACTTTTGGAGGAAGCGGATTCCGATCCGCTAACTCATACTTGGTTCTTGTAAAGAACGAAAGGTTGGTGACCTAAAGTACGCTTCCTCAAGCGCTCAGCTACGGCAGCTTCGCTGCAATTTGCGAGCTTTACTTAGTAAAGCAGCTAAGGTACTCTCAGGTGGGAGTGGTTACAGTAAATTCCCAGATCCCAAACTAGCATCATTTTTCTCATCAAAAGTCGTACAGACAAGCTGTTTTTCATCAACAAGAACGCTTCAAAACCCAACAATACTTTACTCTCATTCTCATCTCTGTACGAGCAGCGCACCCAGTGCCCGTTTTATCGATGATGGGCAATCACACCGCCATTGCGCACACTTTTCAAATAAAATTTACGACTACGTTCACCACTTTACCGATACGTTAAATGCGGTTCAGAAAGCCGAGCTTAATTGTCTACAAGCGTAAAAGTTACAAAAACATTTAATGAAGTAGCTACAAATTCTATCAGGTTGTAGTAATGAGTTTGAAGTTGACCCGGCAGAGCTTGTTGCACGCTTTCACGAGTGGGCCTATTTGTTTTCGTCTACCTTAAGCGTTCATGTTGATTCCTTGCATATATTGGCTCTATGCCATAGTGTCGCGCACTTGGCACATAAAACTTTTTTTTTCGCCCTGAATTGTAGAAGAGCTGATACAAGCAAGTTAAATCGTATCAGTAACATTTTTCTATCTGGACCGCAGCCTTCCGTAACGTATACAAGGACACACAAGGTTATACCGAAATATTTTAAAACGAAGGCAAAGTCAGACGTGGCGCGTTTTGCACTATTTTACTCGACAAAATCAGTGAGAGCAGTCGCTTCACGCAAGCGTCCCAATAATATACCGAACAACCAGATTCACGTATTAAGTTTGACCACTTTGCTTAGCTTCCGCTGAGCGAAGAAGCAAACTACGGCAGCACCGATGCATTTGCTAGCCTCAGTAGTCAATCTACGCCTGAATCGTTACTACTGATTCTCTGTGATGATAGAGCAGTTCTTCTATTTGCCCAAGGGCATGCAGGACGGGCTTGAAAAGCTGATGACTCTGCTTGGCCCTAAAGGCGTGCGGAATATCGCCTTACAAGGCCCCGAAGCGATCAAGGCGCCTAGAAACATTTTCGAGCTATGAAATGCTGTGCTAGAGCACCTACAGCAAAATATGTCGGCACCGACTGCGTCCATGACGCCACCGTGACTCCTCCCGTTCCGGAACGCTCATGGTGGCGCTTAAGACGTTCAAGGGCAAGGATGGCGAATCTCCTGCTTCTGGTGAGAGAAGCCGAGATGGCTCTAAAGTCCGCAATGCTTCTGAACGAGCAACAGCGCGTGGCATAAGCCATCTCCAAGATCGGTGGCCGAGCACGAGAATGGGCACTGACGTGCGGCACTTCGTTTGATGCGGCGTGTTCTCGTGGATAGAACTGAATTCGCAGCTTTTGTTAGTGTTCTCGCCGCCAAACCAGGCATATCGCGTGCGAACGCGTTTCCTTGCCGCCCGACAGGGCAAAAAGAAATTAATGGGCTTTGTCCAACAGTTACGTACTCTCATTGCCGGTATGGCAGCAGATCCACTTCCGAGGCGGTCGCTGTGACCGTCTTTATGAAGGGCCTCCGCGCTGGCATGGCCAGAATAAAAGTTTACTGTGTGCATCCGTCTTCTTTTGAAGAAGCAGTGAATGAGACATCAAATCCCAAAATTACCTTTTGGTCGGTACGATTTGGTCGGACTGTACACTCTAGCAGCTCGTCGAGCGGGTTTGAAGCCGATGGATCTCAGCT